ACAATAAATAAGAAATAAATACAAATAAGTAAAATAAAAAAATACGAATAATAAACATTTTTATACAAACAATAAAAACATTCAAAAAAAAAGAAAATTAGATAAATTTTCTTTCTCTCATATTGAAAAAATTATTTCACCATTTAGCAGTGCACGAAGTAGATCCCCGTAAATCGCGTAAAAGTCTGTAATTTTGCTTGAAGACCGTAAAAGTCACTTTTTAAAAAAAAAAAAAAGTCCGTAAAGTCCATACTTTCATTGAAAAAGGATGAAAAGTTCGTAAATTGTACGCGATATAATTTGGATAATTTTAGAGAAATTACAAATAATTGCAGAAATTAATTTTATTTTCAAAAGTAATAAAATTCTTAGCAGAAATTCAATTATTTTCAAAAATTAAAAAAAAAATACAGTATTCTCATCAAATTTTCAATTATCTTTAGAAATAATTAAATTCTTCTTTGAAATTCAAAAATTTTCCTCAATTCAATGATTTTCATTATCTACTATTTTTATAAAATTTTTCAAAAGAATTTAATTATTTAAAAAAAAATGTAATAAAACTTAACACAAACTTTTAGTTATTTTCAGAAAATAATTAAAATTTCACAGGAATTTCATTATTTACAAATTTTTTTCATAAATTTCTACGCAATCATTCAATACAATTTTAATTTTAATCGAATTTTTCGAAAAAATTATTAAAAATTTTATTAAAATTTGTCAAAAGAATGTAGTTATTTAAAAATTTATAGATAAAATTCTTTATAAGAATTCAATTTTAAGAAACATGCAATTATTCAATAAATTTTTATTTTTGTATTTAAATAATTGAATTCTAGTAAAAATTTTACATAAACATTGATTAAAAAATGGGTTTCAGTTAAAATTTTAGAGCGTAAACTTTTAAAAATAATTGTATTTTGAAAAGGTTTTAGATTAAAATCTTTGAATATGAAAATTTTTCATATTTTTAACTAAGAAATCTGTGGAATTAATTTTTTTTTAAAAAACTTTAATTGCGGTTTTTTTAAAAATTATTTACAGTTTTTATTTTCTAATATATATTTAATTGAAGAATTTAAGAATAATTGAAATTTTGTAAAATTTAATTGTAAATAAATGAATTTGAAAATTCTCAAAGAACTTTTTTAAAAATTATTAAAAATAATGGATTTATAGAAGATGTTTAGTTAAAAACACGAAAAAAAATATTGTCTAAAAGTTATAAATTTCTTCTAAGGGATTCAACTATTTTGACAAAAAATAAAACTCATTACAGAATTTCAATTATTTGTAATACAATTTTATTCAAATTTCTCGAAAAATATAATTATTCTTAAAAATTTTATTAAAATTTATTGATGAAATTCAATTATTTGAAAAATCGTTGATAACGATTCATTATGGGAATTAAATTTTAAGAAACATTCAATATTATTCAAAAAATTATTTATTTTTGTATTTAAATAATTGAATTGAATAATTGAAAGTTTTTATTTTCTAATATTTTTATAATTGAAGATTTTACGAATAATTGAAATTACGTAAAATCTAATTGTAAATAAATAAATTTGAAAATTCTCGAAGAACTTTTTTAAAAATTATTTTAAAAAATGTATTTGTTTGAAGAATTTTAGTTAAAAACACTAAAAAAGAATTTTAATTTTGGAGAAATTACAAATTATCAATTGCAAATATTCAATTATTTTCAAAAGTAATAAAAATTCTTCGCTAAAATTCAATTATGTTCAGAAATTTTTTTAAATTCTCAGCAAATTTTCAATTATCTTTAGAAATAATTAAATTCTTCTACGAAATTCAATTATTTTCAAAAATTTTCCAAAAAAATTTAATTTATTTAAAAAAAATTTTAGAAAATTTTACTCAAACTTGTAATTATTTTCAAAAAATAATAAAAATTTCACAGGAATTTTATTATTTACAATTTTTTTTTATAAATTTCGACGCATTCATTCAATTATTTTCATAAATAATATTTTTACGGGAATTCAATTATATTCGTAAATAATAAAATTATTTTTATAAATTCAATTATTTTCATAAATAATAAAGCTCATTGCAAAATTTAAATTTTTTTAAATAAAATTTTAATCGAATTTCTCGAAAAATGTAATTATTCTTAAAAATTTTATTAAAATTCGTTGATGGAATTCAATTATTTGAAAATTTGTTGATAACGATTCTTTATGGGAATTGAATTTTAAGAAACATTCAATTATTCAATAAATTATTTTTTTTTATTTAAATAATTTAATTCCAGTAGAATTTTCTAATAAAAATTAATTTAAAAATAAATTTCAGTTAAAATTTTTGATAATAATTGAATATTAAAAGCAATATAGCGTAAATTTTTAGAAATAATTGAATTTTGATATAAATTTTTTTGAAAACGTTTAATTTTATTTTTTATATTAATATATTTTTTTTATATTTATTATATTTATTTATTTTTTATATATATTTTTATCAATAATAATTAGTTTGTAAATAGACCGTAATTTTTTATTTTTGGTCCGTAAAGTATGTATTTTTAAATACTTTCACTTTTTTGATCCCGGATTTAGTGATAAATTTGAACCAAAAAATAAAAATTGACAACTTTTTCTCCATTTTTTTCTTTTTTTAATTTAAAAATAATAATGTTTACACAGTTAAAAGGAAAAGAGATCGATAGAGTTTTAATGGTAAGATACTTCTCGAAATTTAGAAAGAGATGAAAACAAAAATTAATTATTTATTGAACTTAAATTCAGCTATTATTCTCTAATTATAGAACACGAAGAATATTGTCAATATTTGAACTCCCGCGAATATCGGAAAAATTTCAAAAAGTTTTCAAACCTTATATTAAAGTATGTACTTTGGCCTGAAAATCGATAAATATTTTTCTAATTACTCATCTTTTATGTATTCCTATAGCTTTCCTTATGGAAAAGAATAAAAAATGTTTTTAATATTCTTACAGAATTGTATTTTCCGTTTTTTTAACTTTCTAAAAAAAAAGCTTATCATGTATAAAAAAATTTACAAAGTAAACAAAATAATTATTTTCTTAAAACTTGTTAAATTATCAACACTATTATTAACGATTTAAAAAAAAAATATATTAATATATTTATTTTTTAGATTCTTAATAATAAAAAAAGACTTTTTCTAAGATTTTTCATACACCTAGTATTTTATTCAAAATATGTATTTTACGATTCAATAAATTCCAGTTCATTTTATAATTTATATCTTCAATTATAATGTTGTTTATGGACTGAATTTTTTAACATATTTATACAATATTCACTAATAAATATTTTGCTTTTCTTCATTATATAAATCGAAATTGTTTTAATTATTAAACATTTATAATGGAAATAATAGTTACTTTAAAAATAAATCATTTAAATATTTATTTTGTGAAATATTGATTTAAATTTTCTTTTAACATTATTTCGTAACATAATTTTCATTTTTCAGACAAAATAATGTTTTTTCAAAAAACTTATTTCAAGTTAATAAATATTAATTTAATTAATTAAAATATTAAAATTTTTTTTTAATAAAATATTAAAATATTAATTAAAAATAAGAAAGGACACTAAATACAATATGAAAAAAATATTTATATAAAATGTCAACATAACTTTATTTTTATTTTCTTAATATTCATAATATTCGCAAGCTAATTGGACATTTTTTTTTCTTGATGACATTACAATTCATTTTTACATTAATCAAGCACATAGTTAAAAAAAATTGTTTAACCATTTTTTTTTCTTTTAATAAAATGAAACGTCAATTAACAAAAGAAATTTTTTAACATTATCCTGTGATAAATAGTAACAAGGAGTTTAAAAATAATTAATTCATTTAAATAACAGTTTTATTACTAATTTACAACAAAAATTTTCTAAACTATTGTAAAATGAATGCCAAAAAAAAATTATTTCCAAAAATTGTAATAAATTTTAATATCATGCATATTTTAAATTTTTAAATTTTTTATTGTTGAAAAGAATTTTTTAATTTTTCATTTATACAACTTTGTGCTCAAAATGTAACGAATTTTACTGCAATGTTCAACTGGACGACAGAATGATTATCGTAATTGTAAGAATAATAATGCTAATTAGTAATTAAGAATAATAATTAATTATAGTAAGAATAATAATAATAATAATAATATAATAATAATAATAATAATAATAATAATAATATAATAATAATAATAATAATAATAATAATAATAATAATAATAATAATAATAATAATAATAATAATAATAATAATATAATAATAATAATAATAATAATAATAATAATAATAATAATAATAATAATAATAATAATAATAATAATAATATAATAATAATAATAATAATAATAATAATAATAATATAATAATAATAATAATAATAATAATAATAATAATAATAATAATAATAATAATAATATAATAATAATAATAATAATAATAATAAGCATAAGAATAAGAATAAGAATAAGAATAATGTGAATAAGAAGAAGAATAAGAATAATAAGAATAAAAATAATTAATAATAAGAATTAATAATATTTATTAATAGCAATTAATAATAATTAATCATAATTGTTAGTAATTAATCATTATTAATCATAATTAATAATAATTAATCACAATTAATAATAATTATTCATAACTATTATAATTGTAATTATTTAATAGTAATTATAATAACAACAATAATAAAATTGTAATAATTAAAGTTTAGCAGCAAGAATATACCGCATATAACAACGTTGTATGTACTTTTATTATACTGATTTGGTTTAAAATATATTTTTTTCTACTTTTTCATATAGTACATAATATTATGTATATATTTACAATAATTTTTCTCGTATACGATTTTTTTTTTTAATTGTAATGGGTAAAGATAAAATTTTTGAGCCCAATTGATAATTTCACAATTTTTTTTCTTGATTGTTGATTTTTTTCTAATATAATTTTTCTGAGAAAATCTTTCGTACAGTGTAAAAAAATTTATATAACAAAAATTTACTTTAAGGTTATTTTTTCCGTAATCGTACAAGCGAAAATCAACTTAAAGAGAAATAAAAGGTACAGACTATTTTTTACTTTGTACGACAGAGATATTTTTTTGGAAACTTAAATGTTTCACATATTTATTTCACTTATTTCTTATTATTTATTTATTTTTTTTGTTAAAAATGTGAACGGTCTTTTCCAGCGCATGCGACGAATCCTGATAGGACGGCTTCGTCGAAGAATTTTCATTATATTATTTTAAATTAAAAATATCACTATATAATTGGAGATTTTCAAATTCGCACACGACACTAGTGATCCTGGTTTTCTTTCAGGGGGGAGGAAGGAAGGGACACTCATCGCTGGTTTTTCACGTGTGATAATTCTCGTAAAATCCTTTATAAATATCAATTCAATGATTTCTTTTTTTTTTTTTTTATTATCCCCTGATAAAGGAACAAGACGGGACGACAATTATTATTATTTGAAGGTAACGGTATATATTGAGAAAGAAAGAAAAAATATTAAAAAATAAAATTTTATTTTAATCTATTTTCTTTTCTTATTTTTGAAAATTACTTTAAATTACTTTTTCTCTAAGATAATAATTATAAATTGGAAAAAAAAACTTCTCAGCCTTGGGGATTTGAACATCATTAAGAATTGCAGAGAGCGGACGACAGACGATAATTCCACGCGGCTACTATTTACTATACGAACGCGATAACTATAACTCCATAATTTCTAGTATATAAATTCTATTCGTTCTTCAAAGGCAGAAAAAAAATTTCTTTTTTTGTAAACGAATAAATTTCACAAAAATATAAACTTAGTTACAATTGAAAAAAAACAAAAATTTTACTTTTCATTAAATTCATTAATTTTTAGGGCTAAAAACTTTTTTTTCTCTTGACTAAATTAGAATATTTTATACTTCTCGCTACTAAGAATATTCATTTATCAAAGAGAATGAAAAAAATTACAAATTATTTCATTATTCTCTTATTCTTTGAGAGAAAAAAAACTATTCGTTTAAAAAAATCCAAGATATAAGAAAACTCGAGGTAAACTTAAAAGTAAAGTTCAAGAGTTTTTAAAAATGGTGTTACTTTGCAAAAATCCATCGAATAGAACTTTTTACTAAAAAGAGAAGGGGGGGGGGAGAAAGAAAGAGAGAAAGAGAAAGAAGAGACGACGGTCGATGATGTGGTTGGTCGACTATGGTGGCTTAAAAATAATGCTTATAAAAGTGGAAAAAGCTGTAAAGTGTACAAGTTGCATGTACGTCTGTACGAAAGCTGCGTCGTTAGCGGTAAGCGGATAAAAAGATCAAAAAAAAAAAAAAAAAAAACTGAAAAAGAAACATTTGCTTAAAGAAGACAAGAAATGGAGAAAATATCTTAACAAAATAGAAAGAGAAAGAAACATCAAGTAAAGAAAAAGAAATATCTGACAAAAAAAAATTAATAAAAGTTAAAAATAAAGATTCATGAAGATGAAGACTAGAAAGTGAAGATAAAAGCGAAGACTAAATTATTAATAGTAAGAATTTTTGGATAGACATAAAATATAAATTTCTAGCGGCACACGATTATTGTTAATACAAAGTGTTTTGCATGTTCTTTTTTTTTGTTTTTTTTTGTGTTTTTTTTTTGTTATCGTGTGTACTGTGATTATCGGCGACAGTAGCTATATGATTGCGCAGCGAGTTATCTCCCTTGTGAATACGAAAGCTTTTGACAGTGATAATTGGCATGGATGATATTGCATGTTGGCTTTACCACTTGTCGACCACAACCTCGCTCACTGCAACACAATACACACAATGATTGAATTAAACCTCCTCAGAATTATGCATTTACAAAACGCCATAATTACACTACAAATCTATAATATATATATATATATATATATATATATATATATATATATATATATATATATATATAATTATAAACCCTAACACCCAGGGATATCCCATAGGATGTCCTGAAAATATTTTAATTTCCAATGAAATTATAATATCCCATAGGATGCCCAAAGACACCCAGGGTTATCCCATAGGATGCACAAGTGCACCCAGAGATATTCCTAAAGATATTGTATAGGCACCCAGGAGTGTCCCATATGATATTCTGGAGATATTCTAATCTCAAAAAAAAATTATGATATCTCGTAGGATTCACAGAGACACCCAGGGATTTCCCATAGGATACACAGAGGCACCCAGAGATATTTATCAGGATATTTCATAGACACCCAGAAGTGTCCCATATGATATCCTGGAGATATTCTAATCTGCAAAAAAAATTATGATATCTCGTAGGATTCACAGAGACACCCAGGGATTTCCCATAGGATACACAGAGGCACCCAGAGATATTCATCAGGATATTTCATAGACACCCAGAAGTGTCCCATATGATATCCTCGAGATATTCTAATCTCCAGAAAAAATATGATATCCTGTAGGATTCATAGAGACACCCAGTGATTTCCCATAAGATACACAAATGCACCTAGAAATATTTATCAGGATATTGCATGGGCACCCAGGAATGTCCCATATGATATCCTGTAGGATGCACAGAGACACCCAGGAATATTGCACAGAATGTTCGAAAGACACCCAGAGATATCCCATAGAATGTCCCAAAAACACAGGCACATCTCGTAGGGTGTCCCAGAGACACCCAGGGGTTAAAGAAAACAACTCTGTTTCTCGATTGTAAGCTCTTTCGGTTGCCGATGCTTCGAAAATCCCTGGAATACTTATGGATGCTCCTCGGATATCAATTTTAACCACGATAAACAAAAGATCTAACGCAAAAATGCCGTCGTCTTCATTAGTCCCTGGGTGCTATTGTTTTCATTAAATATTTATAATAATATAATCAAAAATTAAAATTTTCAGTGAAAAACAATAGCACCCAGGGGTTGGAGAAAATGACGCTGTTACTTGCGTAAATTTTTTCGGTCGCCGGCTGTTCGTTAGACCCTGGGTGCTATTGTTTTCATTAAGCATTTTTAATAATATAATCAAAAATTAAAATTTTCAATGAAAAACAATAGCACCCAGGGGTTAGGGAAAACGACGCTGTTACTGCCGTAAATTTTTTCGGTCGCCAGCTGTTCGTTAGACCCTGGGTGCTATTGTTTTCATTAAATAATTATAATAATATAATCAAAAATTAAAATTTTCAGTGAAAAACGATAGCACCCAGGGATTAGGGAAAACGACGCTACTTTTCGTGTAATCCCTTTTGGTTGCCAGCTGTTTATTTACCTTCGTTGGTTCGAATACCCTGGGATACCTATGGGTGCTCCTCGGATATCCATTTGAACCGCTGCAACCTCAAGAACTAACGCGAGAAACGCCGTCGTATTCGTTAGTCCCTGGGTGCTATTGTTAAATATTTATAATAATATAATCAAAAATTAAAATTTTCAATGAAAAACAATAGCACCCAGGGGTTAGGAAAAACGACGCTGTTACTGGCGTAAATTTTTTCGGTCGCCGGCTGTTCGTTAGACCCTGGGTGCTATTGTTTTTCATTAAAATTTCATAATAAGACGATCCATAATTGAAAATTTCAAACAAAAACAATAGCACCCAGGGTCTAACAAAAACAACGCTGTTTCTCACGTAAGCCCTTTTGGTTGACGGCGTCGTTATAATAACGTCTCCTGGGTGCTATTGGTTTTCATTAAAAATTTCTAATAATAATAATTAAAATTTTTTTCTCATCTTATTTTTATCAATTTTTTAATGAAAAAGAATAGCACCCAGGGTTTTTTTTTCCTATTAGCAAAACTATGAAAATGAAAAATAATTTTTTTTTACTTAGCCCAGCAAGAAATAAATATTCAAACTTGTATTTATAGTCACGGGAAAAAATGTTCGAGATTATTTTTTTTTTTTTGAGAAAACAGTCCTCCCAAAAATCTCATTTTATGTATATTAATCATACAGAGTGGATTATTTTGGACATTACAATAAAATTGTAGTACAATATAATTAAGTGTAGAAGAAATTTGAAGCGTGGGAATACGTGAGATTGATAAAATTTCTTTCTGACACCGATTCACACACACTGTTTTTCATTTTTTTTTTTTCGTTCTTTGTTTTTGTTTTTGTTTTTTTTTTTTGTTTTATTAATAACATTATAACTATAGAAATACTATTTGAGTTGAACAGTTTTTCCGTCACCCTCGGCCCCCTTTTATCTTGGTCCTTGATCAGCGAGAGTCTTTGCTTGTATCACCATTTTGAAGTGTCCCTATATGTGCTAGTTTTTAATTGTATAGGCAAATGGAGAAAGGAAATTTTTGAGGTAAATTGAAAGGATTGTTTTTTTTTTTTTTAATTGTTTCTTTTCACTATTTGCCTATATTTACAATTTTATGGGACATAATTCAGTCTGGAAGGATATATATATAGTCATTGACGACAGAGGAGATTGTTTTTTGAGGGATTGGTTTTCGCAAATTGATTCGAACCATGTCTGCCACGTTGATTTTTTTTTTTTTTTTGGTGGTGTGACGTTGACGATATTTTATCTCCTGTGGTTGTAGGTGCCGAATCAAGAGTCGGCTTTGGAGTTTACTTCGTTGGCTTGACGGGTGGTGCAACTGTGAACATATGGTTTAAACTGGGTTATCTTGACTGGCCTATTTAACATTTCTCCTTCCTTTTGGCACTAAGCGAAAAGCTACTGGAATACTCTGCGTAAAATGGAGTATTATTTGCTCACGTTTGTGTTGGCTCGTTAGTTGCATAGCATGTCAGAGGGATTCGTAAATATATATATTTATGGAGTACCATAATTATTACAATTTAAGTATTGGAAAAGTTTATTAAAAAAAAAAAAAAAAAGTGTGAAAGTTGATTTTTGATTTTTGATGATTAGTACCCAAAAAGGTACAATAGTTTCAAAAAATAACAGACAATTTTTTACAATTAACCAGGGCTCGAACTAGGTCCGTAAATCCCATAAACGTCCGTAAATTTTCTTCAAGTCCGTAAAAGTCAATTTTTTTTTAAATTCCGTAAAATCCATAATTTGATAGAAAAAAGACGAAAAGTTTGTTATTTAAAAATTTATTGATAAAATTCTTTATGAGAAACCAATTTTCAGAACCATTCAATTATTTAATAAATTATTTTCTTATAGTTAAATAATTGAATTCTAGTAGAATTTTCAAATAAAAATTGATTTACAACTGAATTTCACTTAAAATTTTAGATTATAATTGAATATTAAATGCATTAGGTATAGCGTCCATTTTAAGAAATAATTGAATTTTAAAAATGTTTGATATTAAAATCTTTGAAAATTTTAATTTTTTATACTTTTAACTATCAATTCTGTAAAAGAATTAGTTTTTTTTGAAAAAGTTCATTTCAATTTTTCTAAAATTATTTAAAGTTTTTATTTTCTAATATATATTTAATTGAAGAATTTTCGAATAATTGAAATTTTATAAAATTTAATTGTAAATAAATGAATTTGAAAATTCTCAAAGAACTTTTTAAAAAATTATTAAAAAGAATGGATTTATTGAAGAATTTTAGTTAAAAAATACTTTTAAAAAAAACATTTAATTATGGAGAAATTACAAATTATTAATTGCAGAAATCCAATTATTTTTAAAAGTAATAAAATTCTTCGTATGTATATTCAAAATTTTTTAAAAATTCTCATCAAAATTTCAATTATCTTTAAAAATAATTAAATTCTTCTCCGAAATTCAAAAATTTTCATCATTTCAATGATTTTCATTATCTACTATTTTTATAAAATTCTCCAAAAGAATTCAATTATTTGAATAAAAAATTTAATAAAATTCTACACAAACTTTTAATTATTTTCAAAAAATAAAAATTTTACAGGAACTTCATTATTTACAAATTTTTTTCATAAATTTCTACGTAATCATTCAATTATTTTCATAAATAATAAAAAAAACTTCATAGGTTTTCAATTATTTTCATAAATAATAAAACTCATTGCAGAATTTCAATTACTTTTAATAAAATTTTCATTTTAATCGAATTCCTCGAAAAAATTATTAAAAATTTTATTAAAATTCGTCAAAAGAATTCAGTTATTTAAAAATTTATAAATAAAATTCTTTATGAGAATTCAATTTTAAGAAACATTTAATTATTCAATAAATTGTTATTTTTGTATTTAAATAATTAAATTTTAGTAGAATTTTCTTATAAATATTAATTTAAAAAGAAAATTTAGTGTAAATTTTAGATAATAATAATTGAATTTTAAAATCATTAGAACGTAAATTTTTAGAAATAATTGAATTTTGAAAAGCTTTCAGATTAAAATCTTTAAAAATTTGAATTTTCCATATTTTTAACTAAAAATTCTGTGGAATTAATTTTTCGTAAGAAACTTTAATTGCGAATTTTTTTTTAAATTATTTAAACTTTTTATTTTCTAATATATATTTAATTGAAAACTTTCCGAATAATTGAAATTTTGTAAAATTGAATTGTAAATAAATGAATTTGAAAATTCTCAAAGAACTTTTTCAGAAATTATTAACAATAATTGATTTATAGAAAATTTTAGTTAAAAACACTAAAAAAAATTTAATTTTGGAGAAATTACAAATTATTAATTGCAGAAAGTCAATTATTTTCAAGAGTAATAAAATTCTTCAGAGAAATTTTAAAATAATAAAAAAAAATTTTTTTCAATCATAAAATTCTTCTTAGAAATTCAATTATTTTCACAAATAATAAAACTTATCTCAGAATTTCAATTATTTTTCACAATTAAAAATTTTATTAAAATTCGTCAAAAGAAAATAATAATTGAATTGAAATGATGAAAATAATTTTGATGATGTTAGAGTAACAATATTCTTATATAATATTAAATAATGATTTTATCATTGGGCCATCTTTAATTATTATGAAACATGAAGAAATTATGAAGATATTTTCATGTTTTATTAGTTATGAAATTAATTTATTTTTGAAATATTTGAAATACTTTCACTGGCTTGAGCCCTGAGTTAATCAGAAATAAAATTTTGTAGAATTTATCATTCGAACTAAAATCAGAAAGATAAATTCTCCAGAGGATGAATCCTTTGAGGCTAAAGTTTGACTAGGAAACTTATTTGCTTCCTGATGATACTTAGACGGATATGGACCTTCTAAATCAAAGGACCGAACGGATATTTATTTTCAACACTTTAGACTGTCCTTAGGATGTTATTTTAACTCCTAAAGACATCCTGTTTTCTGAGAAGACAATTTCTAGATTCTAGAAATAGTTTGCGTTTGCCGTAAGGGCGATAATCGACCAGCCTAGCTCATGGACGCTCACCCTTATGGAAAACAATAAAATATTTTCATTTCAAAAACAAATTAGCAAAATTATTGGAAAAAGTAATTCGATCTTCAACTTTCACACTAGTCGTCAAGTAATCTAATATTATTACGAAAAAAATTAACAAAAACGAAAATTCAGTTTTTTGTCCAAAAAAAAAAATGAAATTTTATAACAATTTTCGAATATTCAATTTTCTCTTGCATAATTTTAACTAAGTCAACAAATTTTTTTTTTTTAGTTTTATTAAAATAAAAAGAAGAGGAATATTCAACATTCTACTTGTATCTTGACAAGAACACGGAAGCAACGAAAATTATGAGACCATCTGTTTTTGTGAGCTGCATAAATCCTACAAATTTTTGATAATATACAAAATGAAATGTTTTCCTTGATGGAGCACAAGTAACATTCAACTGGAAAATAAACTTTTATATGAATTTCCGGCGAAACAAATTGTACTATTTTACTCATTTTCATTCTATATTATTTTTTTCCCCCTTTTTTCATGAAATGAACAATTGGAATTTTCACGATAAATTTTTATATTATTGCATCTTCATACAATTTGTATTAATAAAAGTTGAAATTCAATTATTTTTGGATTTTAAATTTTTTAATTAAAATTTTTCATTCAATTTGTCGAAAAAAAACGGGATATATTTCACTTTTTTTTTTAACAAAATAAAAGAAGTTTCAGTCGATAAATTAAATTTTTAATTAAAATATATTCAATAATATTGTATTTATATAGAAAAATGTGGAAAAAATGAGAAAAATGTTTATATTCCTTTTTCAAATTTCATTCACTTATTTTCTGCGAAAAATGTTCCAAACCATTTGAATCGCATTAAATTATAAAGTTGAAAACGAGTAATTTTATATAAATTATTCTCATTTCCAAGCGAGTTGAGCGCATTTATCATTTTGAGTATAAATATATATATAAAGAGAATGACTAATTTTTAGTTGCAAAAGAAAATTGAAATTCTTCTCATAAATAAATAAATAAAAATATATAAAATTATAAACTTTCACAGTAAATGTATGTCTTTAAATTTTTTTTTTAACTTATAATATTTTTTGAGTTAATAAACAAATATAATATAAAATTGTAGAAATATTTTTTAAATAATGATTTTTGTAAATAATCATTGAAAATATTTCTAGAAGCATAAAAAATGTTGAGAAAATAACAAATTTGAAATATAGCAGAGCGCCAAAAATTAAACTTAATAGAAATAAATATACTTTACCTTTTTAAATCCAAAGTTACGACCTCGAAATCTTGCTTCCTTTTGGATGGAGTGGACTAACAGTTCAGCAGGCAGGAAATATAGCAAAGAAAAACGAAAAGCTACGATCGGGGTCAACTTTTGGATAATCTTGCCATTCGGGATTTTCATGTAATATATATATATATACTTATATATATATATATATATATATATATATATATATATATATATATATATATATATATATATATATATATATATATATATATATATATATACTCCACATATATTCAATTGATTTCAGAGATGTAAGTGCAAAAAATTCCCAACAAAGATAATATTTTTTGAAATTTTGAAAACCTGAAATAATTTTTTTTTATACCTAAAATTAAAATTTTTCTTTTCAAAATATTAAAAACTTTTTATTTTCAAATAATTTTTTTCTATTTTCCAATTCTTACATCTCTGTTCATGCATTATATTAAAAAAAAAAACAATAAGATTTCAGAAGAGAATAAAAAAACACATATATATAACTTATTGTAATAACATTCAAGAATTAAAAATTTTTGAAATATTTATAGTGAAAAAAAACATTTAAATTTGATTGAAGATGGCAAAGAATAACATTTTAAAATGTGACCCCTGATCTTTATAACATGATAATTAGCTGCGCAAAAATGTTATTATTATAATATAAAAAGTAAAACATTTTTTTTCTTTTTATTAATTAAATCAATAAATCGAAGCAAAAAAAAAAAAAAAAAAAAAAATGTAGAAATGTAAAATTAAAAATATTACAATTTCTACATTAAAAATTATTCGTCTGAAAGTACCAAATCCAGAATCTTTTATTTTTAAAGAAATATTAATAAAAAAAAGGAATTATAATAGACAATCTCTTTTTTATTAATTTCAATTTTACCTTAATCTCCAAAATCTTATTTATTAGATTAATTTTCAAATTTTTATTTTTTTCAATAAAAAAAAAAAACAGAACGGAAAAAGTAATTTGTATAAATTAAAGAGAAAT